AAATAATATAATGAACAGCATTACATTTTTAATAAACTGCACGGGAATTTGGAAAAACCCGTGCCAATTAACATAAGCCATAATAATTACGGTCACGCTGTATTAAAAAAATTACATATGTACTAATAAAAACTTTGTTACATTTGTAAAGAAAAAGCTAGTTAAGTGCCCTAATTCATGTTTTATTATAATTAGATGCTTTAGAAGTAGTAGTAAGGTTATGTTGCACTGTAAAGCGGGCATGACAACAACACTTGATACGTTTAAACACTTTATTAGTAATTTTACTGAATAAGTAAAGAGGCATGAGTAATAAGTACGATGTAAATAAATTAAAATTAAGAAAAAAGCGAGTTAAGTATCCGTTATAAACGTTACAAGTATTATACAACTGCACAAAAATGGCGGCTTTTATAACTCGAAATTACTCAGGAAGAAATAATTCGAGTTTAAAGATCTGTGGTTTTTTCCTTGGTTCAGGAATTCCCCTTTGGCTCTTCCGGTTTCCGTTTTCAACGAAGAAAATTAAATACTTTAGAATAAAAAAAATTTTTGTTTTTTAAATTAAATTAAGAGGGTGCGCTATCCCCATAATCTCAATCTGCTGATCATCTGCTGATGTAATTTTCAGTTTATTAAAAAATCTCAGATAAGCAATATTATTAATCCATTTTGAATTTAAATTTAAAATGCAAACATAATTCGATTAACCGAGCGATAATTTAAAAAAAAAATAATAATATTAATTTTCGATTGACCAAACAATATTTAAATAATTTTCTACGTCATACGTTACGTCATATCTATGTCAAGTTTATTTGAATTTATTTATTATCTTCATCAAAATTGAACCTTTATAGATTATAAATTACCAAATTAATTTACGAAATTTAAATAAAATTATCATTTATTTAGTCGGGAATGGATCCTGTTTGTACAAATAAATTTTAAAAACAATTATTGTTGATTATCGTTTGGTCTCTTGTACGTTAAACGTAGTTTTTTATAATTTTTTCGATAGGATAATGAATAAAACCTAATTATAAATATCCGTAAGGAGACCTTGAACTAAGAAAAGTGTCATTCTCCGTGACGTCACTCAAACGCGCGGTGAATTTTAAAATCATGAGGAGACGTCATACATCACGTGATCGGCAATCATTCGCAAATTCGTTTAATCGTAACTGAATAACGACAATATTTTATTTCTATTTATAAACTGAATTGCATTTTTATAAATTAAACTTCATCATTTATTTAACATAATTATATTAACATTCCGTGACGTCACTACGATATGTTAAAGTATATTAAAAAAAAAGTCAAAACGAAGTTAAAAAACATATTTTTCCAGCTTGAATTCAATTAGAGTCGAGAAAGTTGGTGACTAATTCTCGATAGTGTCACCGGAGAACGCTTAACCCTTCGATGATAAAGAGTAACAGAAGTTGACGTCATTAATGAGAAATGCAGTCACATGATCAGCCACATGTGCTATGTCGGACGTAACCCCGAAACACGTGACGCGTGTCCTTACACTCACTTTTGAAGAGATGTAGAGGGGGGTTGGCTTGTGCTTAATTCGGAAAGGAAAAAGGGGGGGATGAATTCATCTTCCGTTCAAAGAGGAAAGCCAACACCGGCACCACTTGTTAACAGAATCGGTATGGAATTTTTTTCGCGACTTGTCTTCACCACGTTTCGTTCTCCATGATGTACTCATCGATTATTGGACGATTTAAATTTTCAAATAAATTCTGACCAATCAGGCGAGTAATTTTATATAAGGAAACCCGGTGAGGATTTATTATTATTATTTTTTCCGTTTCTGAGGGAAAAAAAATCGATTAATCATCATTGAAGATTAAAATCGATAAAATTTAAACGTGACGATTTTTAACCAGAATAAACCTTCAGAAAGGTCAAAATAATATTACTAATGGCGTCTTTGGACCGTGTAAAATTCGTTTCGAACCGATAGACAAGGAAAATAAGTTATAAAGCGAAAATATTCGAGATGATAAACGACTTTTCCTTAGGTTAAAGCACCCCCGAAATTAATTTAGCGATGGTAAAAGTGACGTAAACAGCTAAATTTCGACGTCAGAGATGTTGTCTAACTGAAGATAACCTTCAAATGTTTATGGAATTTTTGTGGAATTCTTCACTAACTATCTTCGCTTCCGACATCAATATGGAGCCGGGAAACGGGTGCGGAGTTTCATGAGGCCTGTCAACTAGTTGACATTCACCTTGACCTCGTTCCACACTCATAACTAGGAAGAGGGAAATTCTCAATTCGAGAAGAAGCGTTTTTTTTTTTCTTCTTCTTCTTCTTCTTTCTTTATCGACAATGCAGCTTAACGACATGCTTCCGTCTTAAGGANAATAATATTAATTTTCGATTGACCAAACAATATTTAAATAATTTTCTACGTCATACGTTACGTCATATCTATGTCAAGTTTATTTGAATTTATTTATTATCTTCATCAAAATTGAACCTTTATAGATTATAAATTACCAAATTAATTTACGAAATTTAAATAAAATTATCATTTATTTAGTCGGGAATGGATCCTGTTTGTACAAATAAATTTTAAAAACAATTATTGTTGATTATCGTTTGGTCTCTTGTACGTTAAACGTAGTTTTTTATAATTTTTTCGATAGGATAATGAATAAAACCTAATTATAAATATCCGTAAGGAGACCTTGAACTAAGAAAAGTGTCATTCTCCGTGACGTCACTCAAACGCGCGGTGAATTTTAAAATCATGAGGAGACGTCATACATCACGTGATCGGCAATCATTCGCAAATTCGTTTAATCGTAACTGAATAACGACAATATTTTATTTCTATTTATAAACTGAATTGCATTTTTATAAATTAAACTTCATCATTTATTTAACATAATTATATTAACATTCCGTGACGTCACTACGATATGTTAAAGTATATTAAAAAAAAAGTCAAAACGAAGTTAAAAAACATATTTTTCCAGCTTGAATTCAATTAGAGTCGAGAAAGTTGGTGACTAATTCTCGATAGTGTCACCGGAGAACGCTTAACCCTTCGATGATAAAGAGTAACAGAAGTTGACGTCATTAATGAGAAATGCAGTCACATGATCAGCCACATGTGCTATGTCGGACGTAACCCCGAAACACGTGACGCGTGTCCTTACACTCACTTTTGAAGAGATGTAGAGGGGGGTTGGCTTGTGCTTAATTCGGAAAGGAAAAAGGGGGGGATGAATTCATCTTCCGTTCAAAGAGGAAAGCCAACACCGGCACCACTTGTTAACAGAATCGGTATGGAATTTTTTTCGCGACTTGTCTTCACCACGTTTCGTTCTCCATGATGTACTCATCGATTATTGGACGATTTAAATTTTCAAATAAATTCTGACCAATCAGGCGAGTAATTTTATATAAGGAAACCCGGTGAGGATTTATTATTATTATTTTTTCCGTTTCTGAGGGAAAAAAAATCGATTAATCATCATTGAAGATTAAAATCGATAAAATTTAAACGTGACGATTTTTAACCAGAATAAACCTTCAGAAAGGTCAAAATAATATTACTAATGGCGTCTTTGGACCGTGTAAAATTCGTTTCGAACCGATAGACAAGGAAAATAAGTTATAAAGCGAAAATATTCGAGATGATAAACGACTTTTCCTTAGGTTAAAGCACCCCCGAAATTAATTTAGCGATGGTAAAAGTGACGTAAACAGCTAAATTTCGACGTCAGAGATGTTGTCTAACTGAAGATAACCTTCAAATGTTTATGGAATTTTTGTGGAATTCTTCACTAACTATCTTCGCTTCCGACATCAATATGGAGCCGGGAAACGGGTGCGGAGTTTCATGAGGCCTGTCAACTAGTTGACATTCACCTTGACCTCGTTCCACACTCATAACTAGGAAGAGGGAAATTCTCAATTCGAGAAGAAGCGTTTTTTTTTTTTTTTCTTCTACTTCTTCTTTCTTTATCGACAATGCAGCTTAACGACATGCTTCCGTCTTAAGGAAAGTCCGATGACGAAAACATCACGTGACTCAATTTCCAATTACAGTAATTTGTAATCGGTGACGTCACGGAAAGACGATATAGACTCGTTATTACGAAAATTACTTTTATTTTAAATGCATGCATCAAAAGAGTAAAATGCATAAAATTAGAACAAAATAACAAGAAGAAATCCGAAATGGCGAGAAATTGTAATTATTTTCGAGTTTATAACACACATACACACACACACAAAAAAAAAGAAAAGAAAAATGGTTTGTGTTTAACGTTCCGAGAATCTCAAGCTTGAATATTTCCTGGAAGTGTCTCTTGTAGTTAAAATAGTTTGTTTGCGTGATCAATGGATGCTTGAAACAGACATTTGTTCACATGTTATCCCATTCTGACGTCATCGCCGTTGTTTGCGCCGCACGAAGACATCCGAGCTTCGTAATCTAATTACTCCTCATTATGCAAATTAGCCACGGTTTGACTTTGCGTGCGTTACTTTTCTTACGAGTTCAAATGTGTAGAAAAATCGACTCCCGAACTATGTTAAAAGGAAAATTGAGATTTTATGTGTTACGAAATGAGGAAAGAGGAAATTGTTTTTCTCTTAACAAATACCAGAAGTCTCTTAAATATAAACAATCAGGTACTTGTGTAATTATGTAAAAATATTTTTTACACTCAATTAATTTATTTTCTTATTGTTTTACCTAGAATTAAACGGGGAGAAATCGTATTATTGCGAGCTCTTATAATGATTTGCAACCACCATTAATTAATGGATTTCGAATCCGTACTTATAACAGTCGACCCCCCTATAACGCTGTTGATTTTTCCGTTTTATATGAATTCCATGTTGTACGAGTCACTTAGATTTTACAAATACGTGTGCCGGGCTGTGAACGGTTCACGTATTTGTAAAATCCAAGTGACTCGTACAACATGGAATTCATATAAAACGGAAAAATCAACATTGTTATAGGGGGGTCGACTGTATTATTAACGTAGTAATTATTCGTAAATCTACAAAATTTTGGGACCATTAACGCGTGGAATGCTAAAGTTTGTTCTGTTTGTATCCACGTTTCGGGTTATGTAACTTGGATCTCGTTGCAAAGTGCTATCTTTATGTAATTTGTATAGAAATATTACCCTAAAATGATGACTTATTCGGTAACCTTCAGCGATGCAACTTTGCACACCCATACATGAGTTTGCTTTAATCCAGCTGCACGTGAAACATAACTGATAAGATCCTAATTAAGTCACGCTTCGGTAATTTTTAGTCAGAAGGTGCGGCCTAGCCTTTAAAAAAATATGCAAACAGCAGAGAAATCAAAATTTTGTGTCATCCGAGTGGCACGATCCCGTTGCACACTCCGGAAATGACTTGCAACACGTTTTAACAACTTTATATGAAAATGCGGTTAAAATGGTGAATTTTTAAAGGAATTTTATACAGTAAAATCCGAGCTACACACACACAAAATTTAAATATCACTAATAATAATTTTACATTCAAAATTTTGGGTTTTTTTTATGGAGGGTTTTCAAGTAAATTGTGTTGCAAGATCAGATCTCGTCATATAGAAAGGATTCGTTTAGATGGCAAAGGCATTTTTACTTATATAATTGCATAGTGATCAAACATTCTAAGTAAATACAGAAATAATTCTGAACTAAGCATAAGTATGCTGACTTTGCATAGTGATATAGATCGACTCTACAGATTATTTCAACCGAAGTACCTTATTTGCAATATGTCCAGTGTATTTACATTTGAATATATTGCAAATAAGATACTTCGTTACAATTTGTAAGCAAAGAAGAACTTAAATCAATCAACTTTAGCAAATATCTGACTGCAATATTTAAATATCTCGAGTGGGTTTGAGTTATAAAAAAGCATTTAAACTATGAGATCTATTACAAAATCTGAAACTTAAGTTTAAAAACTTATAAATTATGTAATCTGTATGTAAAAACAGTCGAAGAAACTAAGAAGAATGGCATTCTTGCCGAGCAAAGATTCAAAGTATGGCTCCAATGAAAAAAAAAAAAAAAAACAAAAATGGCGGCGAAGTATAAGCGCCCATTATGTATAGAAGAAATCTATTTTTATGTATTCCGCGCATACATTTACCTCATGTAAACCGATACACATTTATAAAATTATCAAGGACGGTGCCTCGTTTAACTGGTATATCATGTGTCACGAGAAGCGATTCAGCATATTTCTCATGTGGGTCAAAATGATTAAATTTTCATCGTGAGAAGTCGAAAAAACCGTTTCAATAACTTTAGCCACTTTTAGAAGTTATTGTTGAAAAGTCGATGTAAGGGTGTGCAAAAAAGTTCAATAACATCATTTTTCGTCCAATCGCTATCCGGTCGAGTCGTAAGTAAAAAGTGTTATTGCGTAACGCGATTGCAAACAGATGTCAGTAACGATGACGTCCGAGCAACACGTGAACAGCGAGTGACCCGAATGGCTACGAAGTTTAGTAAATACTAACGACATCTGCTGTCCGAAATTATAATTAATCGCCATATATCTGTATTGTGTCGTAAAGTGTTGCCAGTTTTGCGAAAGATTTATTTTATGCACTAAGAAAAATTATATTGATAATTATTTAATGCGTTGTTGAAAATATACAATATTTTAGAATATTTCAAGTGAATAAATTGCACAAAAGCGATGGAATAAGTTTAAATTAAAAAAAATGTAATAACAAATAATTGCCACACTCGAAACAGAGCTGGGCTCGGGTTCGAGTCCGGTTATTTTTATGAGAAAGGCGCTACTCTAAAGGATTCCGGCCCAACAGTGTCCGAATGGATAAAACTATTGAACATTGGTAGTTGGACGTGGGTTCACGCTTCGCCACCGGGCTAGCCAATTTTCCATATAAAGTTTTCTCGGTAGGCATTGTCCTACGGCAGATCGCCCACAAGTCGCGTGGCAATATAGTAACAATCCAATCCTAACGGATTCGATTAAAATTAAATTCTCGTGGGTGGTACCAAATATGTCTGGCCACTTGAATGTCTTATATGCAAATCTGGCCGAAGTTATGGATTTTCGAGAAATGATCTAATGATATATGCAAGACAAAAAGAAGTTTATTAAAGCAAACATTATTTTGATTTTTGATGAATTAATTATATTTTTTAATTTCTATATTATTTAAAACAGCTATTTGACTATGAAACGATAAATCCATCGAATTTCTCAACAGCTGGCGGTCTGTCTAGTGCGTTTGTAGAGAACGGCATTTCTTTGAACGCTCAAATGCTGTCGATCCGCCATATTTAATCCACTTGTTATTGCATTTTATGTTTAAGCAAAATCCAGTTTTCAATAAAATCAGGGCCGTAACATGATGCAGAGAGGCGGCCGCATCAGGCGGCATAAGCAGCATTTAAGGAGTGGCATAAGCGGCGGCATTTCGAAGACTCGCATCATACTGAGAAAATCTACCACACGGCCCTGAATAAAATACATAATTTTATTATTCATAATTTCTGGGAATTTTTCGACTTGTTCGGATTCGAACCCGAGTTTTCCAGAGCGGTAGGCTGCTATCTTGACCGCTCGGCCATCCGGTCACTTAGGAAGGACTAAATATGGCGACACTAGACTCAAATGCTGTGTTTTATGATTATATCTAAATCAGAGTATATCTATTATTAATTAATAAAACAGTTGATAGTGACTTTTTTATTGCATTTTTATTTAGTATCGCTATGTTCTATTAACTTAAAATATATAACTCGGAGGTGATGTTGGGTATTTACTTTTTAAGCTGATTTCTGGGTTGTGTGCTGAAAAAGAGTCGTTGGCGTGCCAATGATTCCCTACCCCTAATCTAAACCATTCAGTTTGAAAAGTTTGGTTATATTATTGAAAATAATCAACAAAGTGTTTATTTTATGGAATAATTTTTCAACTTAAGTCAAAGAATTAATTTTATTCCAATTCTCGTGATTTTTCAAAGAATAATTTGACTTTGAATTTGTTTCTCATTCCATGATAATGCTAATCAATTATATTATGCGCAGACCTCTATAACATACAAAATTGATTCTTTCCTTAGAACACAAACGCATCGATTCTTCATAAATCCAATTCAATTGAATCCATCTTGTCTATTCCAAACGTTTATTCAAGATTATCACTGTCAGAAAGAACTATTCGATTGACCCGTAACCTACAAATTGATAAATTAGCAACGAATATCCTCTAATTAGAATATTTTACGTAAATTATTTTTGTCTATTTGGCAAGCTTGTTGTTATTGCGACATAAAAAAAAAGAAACGTTTTGCAATACGACAGGAAAATTTAGTGCCGAGTTATACGAATTTTTCTCACGTTTTGAGTCGTGTTACGTCCGTCAACGTTCTATCTACCTGTCCTCATTTCTCTATCCGATGTTTATGATGACGCACAAAATTCTAGAGATTTACGATCTCTAGAATTGTTTTACGATCACTTAGAAATTGTTTTCAGATATTATGTGAATTTGAAAATTTGGCCCTCTCCATACCTTATAACGTTTCATATTTATCTGTTAGAATCAGTTGTATATAAACGCATGTTTTTAGCGTTTGATTGTGAAGTTTTCAATGAGTTTGTAAGTTTGTTAATTGCTAGACTTTCACGAGTTTATCATTAAAAAAGCTGCAGCCATGTTTAGTTTTTTTTTTTAATCCAAGTGAGTTATGAATTAAACTGTAAGCGTTGCTTATTTACAGGTTTGAACCGCCAACAGCGAAACAAATGATTTTAATCTAAAATATCGGATGGCCGAGCAGTTAAAATGTCGGTTTACCGCTCTGGGGATCGGGAGACGAATTCGGATGGGTCGAAAAGACAGAATTTTTCTGGAGAGTGTTCCTTCCGAATATGTCGGGCCTCATTCTTCGCCATCCACCGCCCCATTGTGGACCCGGCCGAACCAACGATGGACTTGACAAAAAGGCCCACTTAGGGGACAGGGCAGAGTTTAAAAAAATGAAGTTTTTTAAGGCTTTAACTCTACACTCAATCTCTAATTCTTGATACAAAAACAAAAGTACGTAATTTTTATATTTATTCTCAAACTAATTAAAACATAAAAATGTACAGTACACAGCCTAAGTTATAAAAATAATTCGTTTAACTAATATTTCAATCAGGTGAATTTCGAGAATAAAATTGGCAACATTTACCCTCGACGACTTAAGCGCCCCGTGCGTCTATCCGACGAAACGATCGGATAAACATGGCAGCTTGCATGGTTAATTTTTACACGTGAAAATCACGCAGGGAGAGATGCGATTTACGAAATGAGATGATGAAAACCGTATTACTAATCGAACCGTTCTACGCTGGATCTCACAAACAATTAATAGATCTTTTAAACGAAGAGTTCAGATCGTCGACCGACTTGTACACGTTGCCTGGCAAAAAATGGCACTGGAGAGCCAGAACTTCCGCTCTTCACTTCTCACAAGCGTTACCTACGCAACACGACTTCCGGTTAGTATCTCCACGTTAACCTTAATTTATTACGATTTAAACACGACTGACGATTTGCCTATTTTCTAGAGTGCTGTTTGCCAGTTCCGTTTTGAATCTGGCAGAACTGATTGCCTTGAGGGGTGACCTGACCAAATTACACAAGGTCCTTTATTTTCACGAAAATCAATTACTGTATCCGGTGGAGAAACGACAAGAGAGAGACTTTCAATATGGTTATAATCAGATCATCTCTTGGTAAGTACAAAGTATCAATTGTTTACAAGATATGTAAGTCCATAAATTTGAAGTAAGAGTTTGTTTCGTGGCTGTAAATTTTCACTTTACCCTGTACCTTATGCAGTTCAATACAGACTAATGTCATGCAACACTAAATTATTGCACATTTACACGTCACATAGTCTTATTATCAAAGAAAGCTCGAGAACTAATTGGTGAATTAAACCAATGAAATTTGAAAAAGTAGTTTGCTCTGTCACTTAAATTGGCTGCGTAGATGTGGGCACTGTGCGAAAACACCGGCATGGTCTTTTTTCAATTACTGTAGTTTATAATCCGACAGGTCCAGTAATCTGACACTCCTCAGGGTAGCAATTTTTGTCTTATCTATTGTCAATGTATGTGTATAATGTCAGTTGCTAGTTTGTTGCACAGTTAGTTTATTGTATTAATCATGACTAATCTGTGAACTAAGTACATTTTATACTGTATGGTATGTATGTACAGTACTTACAAAATCCAGTACAGTAATACCCCGAACTTACGCAATACGTGGGACTGAGCGATAACCACATAAGTTGAATTTGTGTAAGTTGGGGTATAATTTTGCAATTTGTGTAAAATCCAAGTTGGATGTATGTAAGCTAATAAATGTTCTCATTAATCTTATCTCGTCTTTTGATTCGATCACGGTTACAAGAAATCACCACATAGAGTCTCTCAAGTCTCCATAGATATAACAAACACAGAAATAAATAACACAAAATAAATTGTAGCTATGTGTCGATTTCGCGCGACATGTCCGAACATGTAAGCTAAACAATAGTGTGGGGGAAATGAGTAATCAAGAGTTGCGTAGTGCTCAAACAAGAGACGAATTGGCGAGATTTGAAAATCGCGTAACTCCAGGTTCGCATAAGTTGGGGTAGTGTAAGTCGAGGTATTACTGTAATCCACTGATACCATATACTGGTATTTCAGACTAGATATATAAATTGCTCATTTGTTCAGCACTACTTAAAATTGCAACCAACATAACCAGTTTTATAATTTGAAAAATTACTACTTTCTTTTTTAGTTTAGTTGCAGACGAGATAGTTTTTAACTCTCGCTTCAATCAAGAATCTTTCCTGCACGCCCTATCGACCTATTTCACTATAATGCCGAAGCCCAGACCAAAAGATCTGGAATCGAAAATCCGTCCCAAGTGCAGAGTTTTGTATTATCCGTTAACTAGTATGGCTCTAAATGAAAGATTGAATGGTTTACTCGAAGGAGATGAATGGAACAATTTGTCCGAGAGCCAATGTACATCTCTGAGCAAGAACAAAGATTCTTCTGATGTCTTGGATGATTTGACACCATTGCATATTGTTTGGCCTCATAGATGGTAAGTATACACTGGCTTGATTCAAATGGTTAATATATATTTGTGTAATGCATATTAAATATTTTCAGGGAGCATGACAAGAATCCAGAAGAGTTTTTTGAAGTACTATACTGCTTAAAAGAACAACATTCCTTCAGATTATCAGTAATTGGGGAATCTTATTCAGAAATTCCAGGTAATTTGTTGTATTCAGGAAAGAAATGCTATCTATCGATGACAAAATTTCTGATTTTGAATAGATGTTTTTAGTAAAGCAAAAGTGGCGTTAAAGGAAAATATTGATAATTGGGGTTACCGGGAGACGAGAGAAGAATATCTTCGCGTCTTAGCAAGTGCCGATGTAGTAGTGTCTACGGCAAAACAGGAGTTTTTTGGAGTGGCAATGTAAGTCATGCATTATAATGCATTTCTATTCAAGATAATAAGTGAAAATGTTTATGTAAGCATGTAACAAGGTGCCTTTTATTTTTATAGATCTATAACAATAACTTATATGCCTTCAGGTTAGAAGCCATTCAACACAGATGTTATCCTCTCTGTCCCAATAGACTGGTGTATCCAGAGATTTATCCTGGTATGTATATTAAAATAGAGTTTCAATGATTATGATTGAATTAAACAGACAAAATGTTATATTTTCAATTTGATTCTGATTGAAATCATTCAGGAATAAAGGTCAATGACAAAGCGGGTGTAAAACTCTACTAGACAACTGATTGAAACAACATGAATTTTAAAATATATTCTTTCTATAATAGTAACCAAACCGTCTGTAGCACTTTTGAATGTAATGCTAGGAATTGAATCATAGCTTTCACAACTGCAACCCATACCACTAATTTAGTAGTGTGTCAGCAGTGCTGCTAATGTGCAACACTACTGTCTGGTTTCCTAATTTCATTGCCAAGTCTTGAAATGATTTTTCGGATGTGAAAATAATTAATTTGTTTAATGATTTACAACAAGATAATCTGAATTTTGTAAGACCAATGGATGGACACAATCTTTTCCCCATTTCTTCTTTCCTACATGTGAGCCACATTGCTCATAAGTCACCTTCCAGTTTCATACACACTTGGAGGTGATTTTTTAAATGTAAATTTTTCACATGTGGGCAGCACCGCCACTGCCAAGCAAAGCTGCTATGTGGCCTTTGAGGCTCTTATGGTAACATTTCAATTGAGCCATGCAAATCTAAATTAGTAGATTGCAGAATCTATAACTTTTTTTACAATCATATTTTGTATTTAAAATGTCTCATTCATGCAGCTTAGTATGCAATTATTTTAAATATATATAAACTCCTTGAATACTTTACACTTGAGAACCTTAAAAGTCCAGTAATGACACTTTAATGGAAAACTAACGTTTTCGACCGTACCCCAGTCTTCCTCAGGTTTTTAAAACCAGTAAGATTCGAACTTGGAATGCAAAGAATAACATTTACATATTATTTTTAAAAAACCTATGGAACAACATGTTCAAAAATTATTTTAAAATCCGTTGTCAGAAGAGCTACATTTATAACATTGACCTACAGATCAACCAGTGTGATCATTTTTTTTAAGTTCTTGTGCTTTGACTTTTTGTCTTTGTGGAGTGTTGTGTATTTTGCATTATAGTGAACTTGATTAATTCTTAAGTAGATTACATTTAATTTAAACACTATTGTTTCCTAGCCAGAGAACAGACACTTTCTGACAAAGTATGTCATTAATAAAGACTTACAGAAAATATTCTGACTTAATTTTGCTCTATAAACATTGTCTTTGGGTAACAACTACTAGAATAGCCATTAAATTGAAGAAAATAAAGTTCAATTTTCGTGTACACCCTGGAGCAGGGGTGGCCAACCTTTTTGGGAAGAGTGCCACTATCTGAAAAAACAATTTATGCATGCCACTTCCAACTTTTCCAACATACTAAAAAATATTAAAAGGTGAAAAAAATGTTATTTATAAACTGATTATGGAATTTTTATGCAAATAGCACATGTTTTCTCTTGTAAGTCTGAGTAGTGGAGATTTGTTTTATTTATTATACTATTTTTTAAAAGTACAAACTTAGGTTTTATTGTTAATAAACATTCAGTCAGTTAAGTTATGTATAAAATAAAAATGAATAACTTGAAACATTTAATTCTAAATAATTATTAAACAGCCGGCACTTTAATTAATGTGGCTTTTTAATTTGTAGTTTTTTTATCAAGTCATCTACATTAGGATTAGTTCTTGAAGATTAGGTGTTTTAGGTGCATATCAGTTAATCTTGAATGATAATTTGATTTTATTATGTTCATAATAGAAAACATTTGTTCACAAACATACATTGATCCAAACCAACAACAATATCTGACAGCCAAATCGTGTAAATTTGGAAAATTGCTTGTCGATACAAATTTCCAAAATTCAATATAATTTGGATCACTCGCAGTTGAAATAAGTTCCTTATATAGTCGACCCCCCTATAACGTTGTTGATTATTCCGTTTTATATGAATTCCATGTTGTACAAGTCACTTAGATTTTACAAATACATGTGCTGGGCTGTGAATGGCTCACGTATTTGTAAAATCTAAGTGACTCATACAACTTGGAATTCATATAAAACAGAATAATCAACAGTGTTATAGGGGGGTCGACTGGTACATATTTGCTTTTCAGTGTAGTATGGTGCCGTAGGTCAATAATTTCGATTTGGATTTCAGGTGAGTAACAATTATCTTGCAGAGAAATTGAAAAAGGATTTGTGAAAAGATCAGCATTTTTTTATTATCTTGAAAATCAAACCTAGCACTGAATGAATCCTGCAAAATGAATATTAAATTTTTAAATCTATCATAGTTCGGAGCATTATTGACTTCGGTAGCTAGTTCCTGCANAATTCAAATTAATAATAAAATCTTATTAATAAATTGAAACTCAAATGATCTCACCAATGAATCCAATTGTGCGGCCTAATACAAATAAACCATTCAGTGCTCCTATGTCAATGTATTCTTGAGCTTCTTCCTGCGTGAAGCACCCACTGTAACGGAGAAGATCGACAATTGATGTTCCTATAAACCCGTCTACATTGAGAATCAAATTTGGTTTCTATAAAAAGAGAGTTAAAGGAGTTTACTTCTAATCCATGTAATAAAAAATACGTGAAAGTAATAATTACCTTTGATGTTGTGATTTTTTCAACTTGCAGTGCATAATCTAAAACGGGAGTTGCAGGAAAGTGCCTTTTAACATAGTCCTTTAATATTTGGACCCTCATGTCGGGATTATTTATCTGTAATCAATTTTGATTAATTCTATTTTTACACTCCCCAAGATTGAAAGGATAAAATCTTTACTTACAGATTTCACTCTGTGTCCTATTCCCATGATTAGTTGTCCCTTCTTTCTTGTTGTGTTTACAAACTCCATAGGAATCATTCCATTATCATATGCTTCGCTAAACTGTTTGGCAGCAGCATCGAGTGCACCACCAAAACGATCTCCCTATAGAATTAAGCATTAAAAGTCACTACTAAATTATCCTGCTGAGAGAGAGATTAAAAAGAAAATCACTTACAATTGTAAGGAGACCAGACACTAGGGACGAAACGAGATCTTTTCCGGCTCTTGCACATACTATTGTGTTGTGAGCCCCGGAGACTGCTGGTCCGTGATCAGCAGTTACCATAAGTATCATCTCCAGAAATTTACAAGCATAAGCCGGCAGACGTCTTTGGCACCATAAAAGACTAAGAACGCCACCAATTCCCAATTCTTCTTTAATTACTTGTGTAATTGGTATACCAGCATACAATAATTCTTGACCTCTGTCATCACTGATAGTTGACATAAATGAGGCAGGTTTTCTGATTAATCCCAGTTCCTTTAATAAAGAAATTTTTATAAATTTAAAAAAAAACAAACAATGTCAAAAAATTTAAAGTAAATATTTTTAATTGCTACAATTAACATGTTTCAGTATCTTCTAAATTTTGTGAATTTTTAAACTATTTTATTTTTAAGTCTCTTCATATCTTGTTCCCTTGCACACTGAAGCAGAGGAGTGCCTCAATGTGCAAGAGTCAATTCTGCCACAGGAAATGTGTTTCCGAAAAGTATGGGAGGAAGAGATACGAAGACACTTGAGTATTTCTTCTAAAGTTTAATATTTTTTGTCCTGCCCTGGAGTAACATGATTGAATATAATTATTATGAAAATTTGATTATAAATATTAATGAAAATTCGATCACCAGTTTTATAATTTGAAAAATTACTACTTTCTTTTTTAGTTTAGTTGCAGACGAGATAGTTTTTAACTCTCGCTTCAATCAAGAATCTTTCCTGCACGCCCTATCGACCTATTTCACTATAATGCCGAAGCCCAGACCAAAAGATCTGGAATCGAAAATCCGTCCCAAGTGCAGAGTTTTGTATTATCCGTTAACTAGTATGGCTCTAAATGAAAGATTGAATGGTTTACTCGAAGGAGATGAATGGAACAATTTGTCCGAGAGCCAATGTACATCTCTGAGCAAGAACAAAGATTCTTCTGATGTCTTGGATGATTTGACACCATTGCATATTGTTTGGCCTCATAGATGGTAAGTATACACTGGCTTGATTCAAATGGTTAATATATATTTGTGTAATGCATATTAAATATTTTCAGGGAGCATGACAAGAATCCAGAAGAGTTTTTTGAAGTACTATACTGCTTAAAAGAACAACATTCCTTCAGATTATCAGTAATTGGGGAATCTTATTCAGAAATTCCAGGTAATTTGTTGTATTCAGGAAAGAAATGCTATCTATCGATGACAAAATTTCTGATTTTGAATAGATATTTTTAGTAAAGCAAAAGTGGCGTTAAAGGAAAATATTGATAATTGGGGTTACCGGGAGACGAGAGAAGAATATCTTCGCGTCTTAGCAAGTGCCGATGTAGTAGTGTCTACGGCAAAACAGGAGTTTNGAAAATTTAAATTTGCCGACTGGAATTCTTTCAGATAAACAATGCTCTACTGTACTATGTAAAAAAAAAGTGTTTTTAAGCACAGTTCATTAGTAACTATACGCAGTTAATTCATAATGAATGATGCTTGTAATTAACATTTGGAAATTGTTTTATTAGTTATTTACTTTTCACCTAAATTTATAAAAATTAAGTATTTGTTCTTACTCTAGCCCAACTGTAATCCATTGGGACTGTTGGAGGGGGTACTTCTGGTTGAGGAATAATAACTTCTTTGGTTACTAAATCATCATAAACTTTCCTAAAGTTAGATGAAAACTTATTAATAATACTTAATTAAATTTGTTTTAATGGTTTAGTAATTGTACTTACTTTATTGTTTCACCTAGAGCGTCGAATGTTGCTGGGACAAAAGCACCCACTTCTGCTAATGCCTTGTTCTTTGCTACTGCAGTTTCCCTATCACTGTTGGCACAGGCTCCAGCATGGCCAAACTGTACTTCGGATGAAAACATTCCCGCGCAAGTACCAATACACCAGGAGACTAAAGGTTTTGATAGTCTGCCATCTTTTATGGCATCACAAACTTCATATTCTTCGATTCCTCCGACCTAAATAGATTCAAAATAATTAAATATTTAGAAACTGTTAGTGTTAATAAAATTGTTGTTTTTATGAGTTACCTCTCCTAAGAGCACCAACATTTTCACATCAGGTTCCTTTTCATACCTCAAAAGATGATCCATAAATGTTGTTCCAGGGTATCTTGTTTACAAAAAAAACTATTTATTGACAAATATTCATAAATGATCAATCAAAATCAATTTTAATAATATACCTATCACCACCAATAGCCACTCCTTCATAGACTCCGTTCGTTGCACGAGAAATGATATTGTTAAGTTCATTAGACATCCCACCAGATCGTGATACATACGCAACACTAAAATTATAAATAAAACATTTTATATATTTATGATCTGATTAAAATGATGGTAGCCATTTTTATAACTTAAATTTCATTAACTCAAAAATTCTTCCTTTGTTCAACATCAAGTTATTGAAAATTACTGTCTTAAAACTCTCTTAAGATATGAAATTTTATATACATACATGGTGTATCAGGAAAGATGGTCACAATTTTAAGGGGTATTAGAACATGGCAAAAGTAACAATTGTAATGCAATGCGTAGTCGGAAGTAAACTGTGAACATAGAAACGCAAAGTACGAAGAACATGGAAAACAAAAAGCCATTTTAATCACAAAACATCATTTTTTGTAAATATCTTACAAGAAATAATGTTTCCTATTTACAAGAATTGTTCAAATGAATGACCACCAACTGCAATACATGCATCAGAACAGTGATGGAGTGATTAGCATACACTTTGAAAGATACATAATGTGTCACATACTTCTGCAGAAGGAGCACTAATTCTGGCAACAAGGACTTCAGGAAAGTCAATTGGCATCTCAAAAAGCATATCTGCCTTCTCAGCATTTGAATAATGTTGCACCTCTCAGGCTGTACAACATCCGAATGACAGTGTGTATGAAACGTCCTTCTCACCAGAAGGCCCCTCTTGCAGAAAACCACTCGACTTCTGACCATGCATTGTATTATGACAATTGTTACTTGCCATGTTCTATCACCCCTTAAAGTTGTGACCATCTTTCCTGTTACACCATGTACCCACACAAGTAACAACGTGATTTATTTGTATTGCCAAATGATCTGCTGCAAGATTATCCATCAGACTATTTTAAAACTAGTAAATAAATTTAATTACTAGCCTGATTGTTTGGCAATTTATAAAATAACTGAATAAATACAGCAAAAAAAAATAAATAAATAAAATTACTTTTAACTAGATTTATTTTATTTTAACATTTTTAAATTAGATATATATACATTTAACATTCTTTCAAATTATTACAAATTGTTCATGTTTCAAAATGAACATTTAATCAATCAATAATTCTACACATGATTAAATCTAATAATTTTTTTATTTTTAAATAAAATTTTTTATATTATATGTAACTTAATTATTTATAGATAAAAACAAAAGGATTATTATTAAAAATTCTAATTTTAGTACTTCTGTATGAGCAATTGTAAAAATTGGTTATTGATTTTTAAATGATGGAATTACAAAACATTCATAATATTAACTAATAAATTTTTAACAGAGAAATAAATTTTGTTCTAGTATTTTACTCACCTGCCTGGCCTATATAATTTTGATGCTAATATATTATCCATCATTCCGCCTGTATTTCCTATTTTGAAACAGCCGGGTTTAATACCTCCCACCTATTAATTAAGTTTTTGTCAATTTAGAATTTTGTTAAACGCACAAACATTTAATAAATTTTAAAAATTTACCGTAGCTGGACCAATAATGGTGACTCCCTTCTGGTTGGCTTCTTTAATCATTTTTCTAGTCATGTTCTCTGGGATTCCCTCAGCAATAATGGCAATCGATCGAATCTAAAAATACCAAAATTTTCAATACACAAAAATTTAATACTTTATACACCATAATTATGAAATTAATATGATTACCTGAGGATATTTAAGAGTATCTAACGTGCTTTCGTATGCCGAACGTAAGGATGCAAAATTTATCATGACATCTGCTTCGGGATGCTTTTTCATGGCATCTGCCATGTTTTTATACACTAAAAAGAACAAATTATTAATGAAAGTAAAGTATTTATTGCAAATATAATTATTTGTAATTAAAAATTACCTGGAATAAGTATTTCTTTATGTCCCCAATAAAATTTTTGTTTGTGATCTCCAGTAAAAGGATAAACAATTGCAATGACGGAGCCTTCTTTTCGTGAACAAACAAAATCGAAGTCTAACATACTCTGGACTGCTCTAACTTGCATTCCCCACACTATAGCTTTAGTTTTCTTTTAGAAATTATAAATCATTAGCTATAAAGCTATTAGAAAACCTTACTCACAAAATTCAAACATAAACTTACAGATTTATATAATGGTTTATGATCTACATCATTAACGGAAACAGAATTGGGGCCATTCAAACTGTCTGTTCGAGCCATTTTGTTTGGAGGTGCTGATGACTGAAAATTCTTTGTTACAAATATTAGTAAATTTGAACTGGATTAACTTTATGACTCATACTTACTTGCATTCCTCCGGGAAGTAAGAAATTAGCTGTTGTAAGATTTGGCTGGGGCATTTCGGGTACAGCTCGTTTACCCATTGCCATAGCAACTATAGCAGTCATGTGAGTTTCGGGTCCAAATACATGAATGGGAACACCTAATGTGCTTCCTAAAATATTTGGAAATTTTTTAAAACCAAATTTGTAGCTAAGCAATTTATCTAGATTAGAAGTTTTAAAATATTGCTTACCCACTTCTCGCATAACGCGTAATCCTTCTTGATAATTAGGACCTGCCCTTCTTACAAATATGGAAACATTATGTTCTACTAGTTTGCTTTGAAATTCCTGTAGTGCTTTAACTATTCCCTATAAAAAAAATCTCAACATTTTAGACAATAAGTTTTGAGATAAGATTAACAATTTGGTTTATTTGAGAAAATAGAGTAACAAGTTATTGTTTATGGAAGAGAGTTTTACTTCCAAATTGACATAAGTAACTTTCCTTGCTGTGTGTTACCATACGTCTCAAAGTCACTACTATCATTTATGCATCAGTCCCAGTGAGATGGCAAGGAAATAAGTCATGTGATAAATAAACTATGTTGACCAGTCACACGATACTCATTTATCCCTGCCAATAATCAGTAAACTAGTCCCATTGCCTAAAGAAACTGCTTTCCTGGATTGGTCACACTGTACACTCCAAATATTTTAGTGTTATGTCTTGTTACCTTATTTTTCAAACAAACTAACATAACATAAATAATACTAACTTTAAATGTAGCTGCAACATTTGTAAAGTTTGCTATTCCACCTCCTATCAGAAGTATTTTCCCTGAAAAAATTTAAGTTATAAATAAATTGAATCTTATAGTACAATGGAAAATTTAATCTATCACTTCAAGTATCTATTTACCTTCAGGATGCTTCTCATTAGTCATTAAACTAAGAATAGTTTTGGCATATTCGTAAGTTTGCTGTTCAGTTGGAGCACCAGAATATTCTCCGTAATTTGCAAGTTCTGAAGCACCCCCCAATTCACAAATTGTATCGCTGAAAATAAATGTAAATTTATAATCTCAATTCGTAAATTAGAAAATTTGTCCTATATTTTTTATACCTGTATATAACAGAAGCACCACCTCCGGCAACCATGGTCCAAATTCGTCCATGTTTATTGAGAATAGTCAATTTTAGAGAAGCACCACTTTTTGCATCCAAGTCAGCTATGTATGCCTCCTATTAGAACATAAAATAAAGCTCTCAATATGTTTTTTTTAATGAATACAATTAATACAGGCATAATACAAGGTGAAAATAAAGATTGTTTTTTTGAATAAGTTTTTTACTTGGTTTGCAACAACCAAAACACCAGTGCAATACATCCTATTAATAGGCTTGGTCCTATACACTTTTAAACATTTAACAAATTGTAAAAAAGAACAGAGGCATATGAATTAATATTCAGAGCTTGTATGCAGTTTTATTGAGGTGGAACATTAGTGAAGCCTCTTCTATGAAACTTACAGAATTGTGTTTATTCTCAAAAGCTGTTTTATCGATTTTGATTGAACTTTACCATTTTCCATTAATTGAGATGAGGAATTCAAAATGTAATAAAAAAGTGTGAGTACATGACTTTGTTTTCCAGATATAAGGCCGTTTCACAAGTGTGGGTGACAAAGTGATATTGCACAAATTGTGCAACCTTGCTGTGCTATGTTTTACAGTTGCTAGCATGTCTTCTATGGGCTTATGGAATCGAGTTTGTTCTCAAAATTTAATGAGCTGATTTTGATAAAACTTTGCTCATTTCCATTAATTGAGATGAGGAATCTAGAAATATAATATGGGTTAATTGAAATGTAAAACCTGCAGCAATGAATTGCTGAACTTTCCTAGCTACATTTTAAATTTTGGTGGTGCCATCTGTTATGACATTTTATTACAAAAACTTTTTATATTGTTAACTATTATAAAATTGCAGAGAGCTTGATTTTGAAAATAGGGACAGATTTTATAAAAAATTGTAAATACTAATAACAAGTAACATTGTTACTAAGTCCAATCCTACTTGAGATATGACACACAATCACCCCACCCTGCTGTTGACCTTTAACAACCAAAATTTAATATCATCAATCCTAATAATATACAAACCTCCTTGCAAAATTTCAGAAATTTCCAATAAAAAAACACAGGAGTTATTAAGTTTCAAACAGGGTCAACAAAATCGTGGCCCCCATATACATACTAACATTCATACATACAGGAGAAAAAAACATTCCAAATGTTTTTGCATTTCTTCACATTTCAAGATCCAGAGTCCAAAAATGTAGAAAATCTTCGGGGATAATTTTTTTGATCAATTGCCATACTTTCCCTCTTGTTATATATAACAGGGCTGGGAAAGTAAAATTAGGAGTCCATGACTTTATTTTCAATATATAAAAGGTATTAAAATGACAATGTCCGTGTTCTCTGACGTGATTGAGCGCACCTAACAGAATTTAGGCCTAAGGGTTAAAAATAAAAAATTGGCATTACATGCACTTAATGGAAAATAGTGTAAAAAACAAACAAAGCATATGTCATCAATTGCTTTGTTCTTGGATTGCCTCCCCTTACCTGGAAAGTGCAAAGTTCACCTGTCTGTGTTTGTTAGGTACAAGGATTGTCTCTTCTGTGCCTAACAAGTGCAAGGATCACTTCTTTCCAACTCTACTTCAATTCTATTGCGATACAACAAAGTTACATGATGTTCTAGTTGTGTTAATCACATTATTTTAAATTTAATAATTCTCCAATCCATTTCAATAGAGAAAATTTAGAAGAGTTAATAAAAATTTCAGTTTAATAGCTTTCAAGCATATAAAACACCTTTTATTTTAAGAAACTGTTGAGAGATTTAGGAATTTTATACACAGTATATATGGTAGCCGGAGGAAATACATTAACCAAGATACTCATACAACATTCAGTTAATTCCAATGATTTGATTGAATTGTTCCTAATTAGTTAACCATTAAAATAATCTTCAAATATATCTCAGTTAACAAAAATTTGAGTCACCTTGTATAAAAATTAATGCATATGTAGGTAATCAATTTTGGCCTCCCGATATATAATAAAATTTATATGTAAATTTGATGCTTTGCTTTAAATCGATTCTAACCTTCCCACTTCACTGTCTTTTATATACAAAGATAAACTGGAAAATTAACATACAAAAGGCATGTTAATTTTCCAGCTGTAAAAAGTTTCTTGCACTCTAAAATTCTAGTCTAAGCAAATGTTTTTGGCTTCATTCAAGGCCTGCTTCAGGCTTACATCCATTCCTTTTTCCTGCGGATGCAAGCCTGAAGTGGACCCTGATAGAAGCCAAAAATGTTTGCTTAAACTACAATTTTGGAATGCAAAGGTGGTTTGTAGGACAATTTTCAAGCTGTAATAAAAAATTAATTAAACTAACAAATATGGTTTAAAAGATAATACACAATGATTATGTTATCCATTAATTTCTTAATTCTGATTCTTAATTAATTTAGAAAATAAAATTTTAATAATTAAATACACGGTACTTTGGTATTCGAGGTTAATTCATTCCAGACCTTCAAATATACACTAATAAAAAGATTTTAACTAGAATTTAACAAGTTTATAAGCTTAGCATGCATTAAAAAAAAAATCCAAAATAATGCATGGAAATGAGACAATTTATATTTTGTTGGGTTGAACTGAAATTTTTGTGAATTTTTAACAGCTGTCAGTACTTAACACAGATGTGTGATTTAATTGTAACACTTGTGAACTAACACATTTTTAACTACTCATTTTTATGGTAGAAAATTTTTTTATGAATGACAAAATTAAAGTTATAATAAAATTATTTGTTATTGATTGAAAGTTTGTTCTAGCAAATTTTGTTTGTTAGGTTAAGTACCAAGTGATTTTTCCCTGAATATGTGTTCAAATACCGAAGTAACACTGTACAACATAATGACCTAAACCGCTACCTTTAGACCATGTTACTTACTTTAAATATTCTTATTATAGCTTAAAAATGATGTAATTAATTAGATATGACTTAATTCCATCAGCTAATTCATTGTATGGGTATACAAACACTTCTACATTGCAGATTCAAATTCTGCTTAAATATAGATAACTAATTGTTAGATTTGAATAAAAAAAAATAGTGTTTAAGAAGTAATCTAAAGTCATTAGTGTGGTATAAGAGTAAAAAAGGAACATTCTTGCCTCAGGAAAAGCATCACGACCAAACGGAGGAGGAAATTCAATCTCTCCCCATTTTTGTTTGCAAACAAATTCTGCAGTAGCATCCAACTTAGCTGCCAAGTCCAATATGTAAATTTTTCCATTGCTTATTACTGAAAAACAATTTAACATTTCATTATAAAAAATACACAGCCATTGTAAAGATTAAAATAAATTTAATGAAGTACAACTCACCTAATGGATTAATTTCTAAGTAAGTGAAATATAAATCAACATATACTTCATATAATGCAACAATAAACTGTGCAACATAACTAGAAGGAAAAATGTTTTGATAAGATGTGTGGGAAGTTATTAAATTTAATTATTCACATAAAATTACTTAATATTCTAGTAAAATGCCATATTTTACACCATATAAGATGCATCTCTACTCAAACACAATATTTAGCAAAGCATTTAGTATTTTTAAGCTATTTTTTAATCTTTGGCACTTGACCGGAATACAGTTAACATAAAAAGTAAAATTAAAATACACTCTATTTATTGGGGGGCAAAACAATGGTAAATGAGCAATTATTTATTGTGACATTGTCACAATGCTAGGCTGCAATTTTTAATTTAAAATGTATGCTTCTAACATGCTCTCCACCTCAAATTAGTAGTGGCCTGTAAATTGTACCTTTCCTTTAACAATAGAGTTGTGCTGGTCATCTGTGTAACACCTTTTGGTGAAAAATTTTTGAATTAAAATAACATGACTTCCTGTTCTTATATAGTTAATCTGGGCCTCCTGCCACAAGTTTCCAAATCTGGTCTCGTTTTTCATCTAACTCACTCCATTCTCAAGATTAAGGAAAACGAACAGACGACAGTGGGAATTTATGGGTCTACAATTTTTTCACATTGCAGCCCAATGACTTTTTGAACTAAAATATTCTACATGAATACATGCAAAAGTAGCTTAGCTCTAACAAAAAAATATTATAATATTTAATTAAACATTGTTATTCAAGAGTTGGGTTGGGTAGAGGTTATCCACAGCATACTGAAGGCTATTTGGGGAATTTTCTGAATGTTTTTTAAACAAAATTTGCATCTTATATGCCATCAAATATAGTTATAATTTTTTTTATTGATTTATTTGATTAGTTTGTTTCAAAAAAAATGTTTAATTTGTTGCAGGAAACAAAACTATAAAATTATGAAAAGAATGATTATATTTAAATTTACAATAGAAACTGAAAAAAAAAAAAATTATTATTGAAGGTTAAAAATAAAGACTGTAAAATGATTTTATCAAAGCTTCCCTGTAATAATAATACAATAACTTTTTTCATCTGTCGTTCATAATTAATGAAATGCATTATAAATTATCTTTTTTCCAGATTATAGAATCTATAAATAAGTTTTTCAAGAAAGGAAATTTTATACTAAATTTCAAATAATTACTTTTGCTTGTCAGCAGATAAATTTTTCAGAAGTTTTCCTCTGATTTCTTCTATGGTTGGTTTAATATCAATTGGAACGTCAAGGCGAAGTGCCTAGAAATTTTTTATTCTTTTAGCAACAAAAAAATTTTTTAAAATACCTGCAATTTAAGAGAGAAATACCTTTGAATCAACATCACCAATATCGACACCCCCTCTGTGATGAAACAATATTGTATCACCAAATCTATGTGAATAAATACATATATATGATTCCTCTTCCTAAATTTTAATAAAAATATGGTTTAGTCAAAAACTAAGCATTAATGTTTAGAAAATACTATATCAAATGCTTTCATACCTCAGAATGCGGGACAAATGGCTCTATTATGAGATTGCGAATTTTACCGGTTGCTCGTCCGACCTGTATATAAATAAATTCATGTTATGAGCCTTGTTCTGTAGCAATGGATAACCTTACAAAATTTCACTATGTTAATTAAAAAGCAACATTTTATCCTTATACTTCATGCTTATTGATCTCTTATGCTTGATTATTTCTCATAGTGAAATAATAGATCAATTTTACATTCTACCAAAACAAGGAAATGATTCGATACTCGATAAAAATGAATTAACGCGTGTCCTTTGCTATTGTCACGAAATATAGCCAAAATGAAAAATAATATATTTTTAGGATCAGTTACAGTTTAAGATTTAATATGCTAACATTATGAAAATATAAGATCAAACTTACAACATCCAGAAAAGAATCATTAGAAAAAGAAAATAATCAATCAAGATTACACATTCAAATCCTGTCCATACAGAATTAAATATGTAACCTGATGTATGTTTTTTCTATAAATCCTTCTCTGGATATTAAAGGTGTAATCTTATATTTGAATTTTGTGATCATTTAATGTGCTTCCCTTATGTTAGAATACATCAGAAAGTTTTCTTCTAAAGTAAAGGATTTCAATACACAAATTACCTGAATATCTTTTCCAAGTCTTTCATTAGCCCATGATTTTACTTCATTGATGTTTGCATTAACACGTATCAGGCCTAATTTTCCTCTCCTTTTGATAAGCTGATCCGGTTTCACCACCAGTCGCTAAAGTAAACATTTTAAAGTTTGAATAAATAAGAATGTGACCAAATTTCATCTTCCAAACCAACAGAGAAAATTCATCAATCTTCTATAGATTTACTTTTAAGTCTTTAAAATTAGACTTATTGTTAGTAGTGTGTGGCATTCTGCAGTGTCAGAAACAGTAATATAATTAATAAAATACTAACCTCTGATTCTAGCCAAGGGTTACTCGCTACTAAATCATTCCATTGAGTATCTTCAGTAACGGTAGCAAACTGACTCTTTACCGCTATTCCGGTATTTAAAAATTTATTAAGTAATCCTTTACCGGTGGCTTCTCTGATAGCTTTTGCAGACATTATTTACCAGATGGAATTTATCTGCAAGAGATAGAATTAATTCAGTATTTTCTCTTGTTCTGGGAAAAAAAAATCAATACCACATATAGACGACAGGTGCGCATTTCCTTTGCCTTTTTTAAAGAACTGCAGTATTTAAAAATAGACTTGACTCGATCCAAAAACATGCCGTTAATTGCAAAATTACATTGCAAATTTTTAAAATATTACACATGTAATATAGTCCAAAAGTCAGTTAACCATTTTAAAGAGAATTTTACTGTAGTTGCTACTAACTAATTTATAAACTGTTCTGAATGAGATGTTTCATTCCAATAAACAATTTAAATATTGTAACATATTGCTACAAATTTCCAATTACTGTATATTTCGGTTGACTCGATTACATATATATGACGACGTAAAATACGTGTATGTAAATGTGCATACTTAAATTTTAAAAAGGAAAATAGAAAACAAATTTAACAAGTTCCTATTCAAACAGGGAAATTATTCATTATTCATACATTAAATAACGACATAAATGTTACATAACTAACAGATCATTAAATATATAAGTTTTCTATATTATAATTACTTTAATTCGGGAGAAAGAAAAACATTTCAAAATTCAGAAACTAATTTTTAAATATATTTTTATGTTAATTCTATAATATAGTCTCACTACAGAGTTCATTTATTAAATAGATACAATAGGATAGGAGTGAAGAAATAAGACAAAGTAATCTTAGTGAAAGTTAAATACTAATTTCTCCTAGCATTTAAACTAGAAAACAGTAACATTATTACAAAATACTTGTTACTGCTCAAAAATTTTAAGCAAATCTTTAACTTTCATGTTTCTACAGTCTGACTTTAAAAATTTAAGTAAAATTTAAGATGTAAAACATGTTCAATTGAGATTATGGAACACTTAAAGCAGATAAAATCTATTTCCTATAGCTCCATTTGTCCGTATCTTCCTAAAGACATATCTAAGACAAACAACCTCTCTAGTACTTACAGTTTAACCATTTAGACTCCAATAAAGCAGTATTTTTATATAGAATGTCAACTTCTTAGAAATTCTTAAAAAATTACAGCTTACTAGTATGCAAGAAGCTACCAAGACAGTTATTTAATTAATATTTGAGGCTCATTGTCCAGTTCTTTTGCTTAAAAGTAGAATTTATATCTAGATTCCGGTGAATCATCTTTTAGTTACTTGTATCGTATAATTAAAAACAAAAGCATGTCGTCTATTGTATAAGTTAATTATCAAAGTATTTGTAGTTAAGATTCAAACCTTAACTTACCAATTGCAAAATCCACAGACAATTACAAAAAGAAGCAAAATTTATAGACGGAGGCACAGATTTCCGAGATTTATAATAGAAGTGCACGAAATACAGACCTTAAAAATCCACCTTTTACATTAAAAATTATGTTAATGGGTCATTCGTATGGAATAATTTAAGTTTATTTGTAGGTTTAACCCAAATTTAAGAGATCACATTGCGACATTGGACAAAAGTTCTCTATTGTCCGTGGCCCGACGTTCAATAACAAGAATGGACTAATAATTTATTGTGAAAGAAATTATGTCATTCCTCGATTTTATAGAATTTAATTAAATTTTTATGTTAATTATACTTAAGATATTTGGAAAGAAATGTCAGGTTTACTTGACAAGGCTGAGAGAGGGCTATAACCTTTCTGCAAGGTCACATTTAGTGCAGAATAACTGAATGTAGGTTAGGAAAATCACGGGGTAAATGAAGATATTTTCGGTTGAAAAGGATGTTTTTAATTATCTTTAAGTAAATTATGCTAAAAATACGTGCAGAAAGTTATCAAATCGGCTAATTTTAACCTAATTACTGAGAATTTTAACACTATTTTGACAAAACTTTATCGGAACTTTTATGAAATCTTATTGAAGTAATTCGTATTTTTAATTAAAACTCGTTTATTATGCAATTTTCTTGATAAAACTGTGTCGAAACTCTGCGAAAAAAAAAATTGGCGATTTTTTCGTAAATTTACACAAGAAACCGTCGCTGGAGTGTCTAGAACATGTTTGGAAACCATTTAACCTCTTTAAATACGGCAAACTTCGGCGAAAAACCGCCAATCTCCCAACCTTTCCACAAGTACTCGATGGAAATGGTAAGAGTTAACGACCGTTCCGAATAATTGCATTAAAAAATTCCCCACGAAATCTATTTTAAATCGTAGAAACGAGGAGGAAACACGACGGGAAAAAAGAAGTCATTGAAAAATCTTCACCGATCACACTGAATTTTTGAAGTAGGTTACGCAATCGTTACGTCATCGCAACACCTGACGTCAGGAACGGAACTTGGCAATCATCCACAACACGTGGACGCACTACATAATCCGTGTGACACGAAAAACCCGTTAAATTCTCTTGTAGGGAGGCCATTTTCGTATTCTAACGTAAGCATACGAACGTCATACGTCAGGATACGAGACGGAAGTGCACGAAACCATGAACGTGACCTTCTAGCAGCCTCAGGCAAGTAACCCAGTTTTAGAGTTATGTGACACGAGTGCTGGAGAATATGACTTTAAAAACTTGAACCGTCCCCTCTTAAAAACCTCATTTTGCTAGCTTTAAATGGTTAAATTGATGAGGAAGAACGTGTATAAATTATCGGCGATCGAACAGGTTTTATGCCTGTCCATGAAGGATGAGCATTATTTCCTCAATTATGCTTATATATATATATATAAACTGAAAAAAAAAGATAAATGATCAGTGAGAAAAATCATGAATTATTCTCTATAAATTCACCAAGAAAAGGGTCACCTTTCCCTTCAGAAAGAACTTATTTTAATATTGAATAATTTGAAGGAATTTTCATCATCCAAGCGAAACTGGAACGGGTGATCGAGTTATTTTTTATGTTTGTGGACAGCCAGTCGATCTGGTTTATAATTTTAGATGATTGCCACGCAATATATGGAATATAAATTCTGTATTGCGTGGCAGTCATCCCGGCGGTGTAAAAATAATCCTTATTCTTTATGCCACACCGCCGAACGGGTCGAGTTATCTTAAGATAAGACGATAGCTTAGCAGGTAACATCGTCGATAGAATTTGTTATTGTTTATCAGTATTTTTTACATTTACAGAAGGAAAAGTGTGGCAATACTTTAGTTTGTGATTATGTAAACACAAAATGAAGAAATTTAGATTTTAATACATTAAAATCTATATATCTTCACATATACATACCATTTCATCTTCATATACGGATCATAGTAAACTAAATAGGACAATGATTAGATCCATACATAAAGATAAGCTGGATAAGTTTGAAGTATTTTAAATATAGAATAAGCTTAACTGATCCTTAAGCTTATCTCCAGAATTGTATGTCAGAAAGGTTCCTCTTGTATTTTAAAATATACAAAGTTAATAATTCTATCCTTGATCAATTCAGGATTCCATTTACTTGACACATTTCCTTAGAAGAATGGAAAATTGCCAATTTAATAACAGGAACAAATGCCACATGCTAATAATGCATTAATGCCTACAGAAGATAAAAAAAGGGTAGGCATTAGAAGAATAGTACTGAATTCCTGTATGATCACACCCATTTAAAGGATGAAATTCATTCAATTTTACCCTTTAAACAGAAAGGATTTGTGTATATTGATGTATAACACACATATTTAAGTGAATTTAATTGAATTTTGTGTGTGTTTCGCTTAATTATTGTGTAAAATAATTAAAATGTAGAAGAGAATTGTGATATTTACCTTCATCAGAGCAATACTTGAATATTGATTAAAACAGTTACATGAAGCAGATCTGATTGCTAAAATTGTTAAATAACAGCGATTTATAGTCGTTTAATAGCTCCCATTCGTTAAATACTAACATAGAACGAGTAATTTTATCAATTTAAACCAATATTTATATAAATTTAAAGTAGATTTTCTCATAACAAACTCACCTGATGTCAACGATGAGGAGTCTGAATCTACTCTGCACATCAGACGTTAAGCAGACGATAATCACGCCACCTCACGTCACTCGAAACGCATCAGCTAATCGACCAATCGGATTTCGTCAAGCGATTTACTCATTCGTATTACAATAAACTTTCTTTGTGTTATTATTATTAACGAAAATAATTTATTTTTTTAAACGTTTCTATATACATATGTTAAAAATAGAATATTAATTATTAATATAATTAAAATTTTAAATATTTTTTAAAATTAAATAAATTTATATCTTGCACTTTTGAATTTTTACGTTAGTAACTCGTTCGGCCAATCATGTTCTGTAAAATTGTTAAATGATTACGCATGAAATGTATTGAATATGATTTAAATCTAATATTAATCGTTAAAATTTTATAATGAATGATAATACACAATTTTCAATGATAATAAATTTTATATATTATGAACAAATGTAAAAAAAAAAGAAAAATTTAAAGTTTTGCGAAATTTTAGCGATAGTTTCGTATCTTATTGGAAAAATATACAATACAAAACTTTAATATAGTTTTATATAATTTAAACGAATATTAATACTAAGAAACGAATTTAAAATATTAATAAATATAATTTATAAATATATAGTTATAGTAATAAATATAGTTTGATAAATTTTAAATAAATTGTATTTTTATCATATATATTCTTGTCATAAACGCTATAATTAATTTTATTGCAAATAAATTTCGATATTAATAATTTAAATTAATAATTATCAATATTATCTATTTAACACATAAACAAAAAATAGACATAGATATCATCAAGGTCATTAAAAAAAACCTTTAAATATAATTTCGAAAGTTTATTAATTTTAATTTCTGTTAATTAAATTTTCAAATGAAATAATATTTAAATAATTTTTCATATTACTGTATTTATTATAAAAGTTGAATTGTTCGATACTAACATTTTTTAAAGGGGTCTACAAAAGTTATGCCAGAATTTAACCAAGATTAAATTATGGGATTGTTTCTATAACTTAAACTTTTTTGTTACAATTGAAAACAAGCTATAAAAATAAAATTTCTTAATAGTTAAGAATAGATAAATAAATAAATATAATAGATTTTTTATTTAAAATTCATTATAGATATCTGAAAAGCAAATAAATTTATATTATTACTGTTGTGAGGGCTGATAGTTCTACAGCCTTTATAATAACAGCTATATCATACAACTTTCATAGTAACAGATGCATTTATCTGTTACCCATAGATGCAATAGAATTAATACATAAAAGTTGCATAGTTGCAATAGAAAACTACATAAAAATATTTAAAAATACAGTTTAACTTTAATAGTATTATAAAAATACAACGTAATTCAGACATATTTATAAATTCGTAACTTTTATGGAATATGATTCCTCTCTTAGACCATAATGTTTTATTATAGAACGTGAATAGGTTTAGGGTATAGTTCTTCATTTCTTCTTTAAAATATTTAAATAAATAAATGTATGTAAGTATAACATAATAAATTAATTGATAGTTTATCACTATTAGCAATTTATTTTATACTTTTTTGCTTGCATAGGGCCATTGGCCAAGTGAATAAAACCACAGAACATTGACAGTTGGGCGCTAATTCGGGCTGGCTACGTGAAGTTTCCAAGTTTTCATCAGGTTTATAACACTTAAGTAGGGAAAAATTTCCCATAGAAGGGATTCCCCGTTGGCAAATCGCCCATATGATTGCTATCAATTCAATCTTATTCTTGCTTGCATGAACAGCATAATAATAAATTGTATGAGCTTTAGCAAATTATTTATTAGACTATAATGCACCCAAGAAACTAAATTTAATTTAGAAATTACCATACGATATAATGAAGAAAGGTGTAGAATCATTAGTTATAAATTAGACTAATGACTAGTTTTTATGCTTTAATTATATTATTTTATGTCAGAAAATTAAATAAATTTAATTAAATATTACAGTGATATGTTGATAATATAAAATTAAACATTTAATCGGATTAGATAACAAAAAATAACTAAAAATCTCATACGAAAAATGAAATTCAAGCAAGATTTTCCTCGATAAAAAAAAAAAATTGCTATAAAATAAATGAGCATTATCATTTCTTGCTATCAGAATGCCAAGGTTAATATTAAAATTAATAATTTTGATATATTGAAAGATAAATTACGTTATAATCACGTGTAAACCACGTTTCCATCTTTAGTATACTTCTAGGAAATTTCATGATACTATAAATGTCACAGGAGAAAATACCCTTTCGAATGTAATAATTAAAATCTTTTCCTTAAATGACGTCAAAAATCAAACAGAAATTTATGTCATAAACTTTTTACTTAACAAATATTCTTATTATTTAAAATTTTGTGAATGCAGGAAATCAATAAAGGAAAATCTTCCTTGTCGTTCTCTATGCCTGGAGGTGTATCCATTTTGTCCTTGAATTAAGGAAAATTAAAAGTAATTTTAAAGAATATGTAAAGAAATTTTTTATATGAAAAGCTTACTTTAATTAATAATTACAGATTAAAAGCACTATATATTATTAAAAAAAGATTTCTGAAGGATAACTTTTGTCTTTAAGAATGGGTACTTAATTTTTTTTGTGTGTAAATAAGTAAAAATTGTTAAACTTTAAAAATTATATATTATAGAAAGTAAATAGGAATTTAGAATATTTGGAAGCATTAAAAATCTGTTATATATTCATTAAAATTACTTGAAGATCTGGATTCTTCAAGAGATAATTTCAAATTATCCCTTCAGGAAATTTAATATAAATAGCTTCTAGTGGTTTGGATTTTATGAAATATTTTTCGGTTTTACCGATTTATATATTTAATTGTGGTCAACATATTTAACATTTCAGAAGGATATTTAAATCATTATTTTTATAGATTTTATGTAGTGGGAAACGTAGACAAGATGCAATACAACACAAACGAGCAATTATTTATTTATTGTCACATAAATTTTTGAATTAAAATAACATGACTTCCTGTTCTTATATAGTTAATCTGGGCCTCCTGCCACAAGTTTCCAAATCTGGTCTCGGTTTTCATCTAACTCACTCCATTCTCAAGATTAAGGAAAACGAACAGACGACAGTGGGAATTTATGGGTCTACAATTTTTTCACATTGCAGCCCAATGACTTTTTGAACTAAAATATTCNTCATTATTTTTATAGATTTTATGTAGTGGGAAACGTAGACAAGATGCAATACAACACAAACGAGCAATTATTTATTTATTGTCACATCGTCACAATACCAGGCTACAATTTTTAATCATATTCTTAATTTATTTAATTTAAAATACTGCATATGTTTTCCACTTTAAATTAGTAGTGTCTCGCTCCTGTACAGTACATCATACTGTTCCTGTCAACAATAGAGTCATGCTGGTCATCTATATGTCCGTGGTTGTCAGTCTTTTTGAACGACGTCAAAAAGATTGAAAACCGGGGAACACTGAACTTTGACATGTTTTTCCGCGGAACACTCAAAATACATCAGTTTTAAAGCAGGGGTGGCAAGACTTTTTGAAATCAAGAGCGCACTCGGTCTAGTATGTGACATCATTGGCATTTGCTGATTACATTCCCATACAAAAATTATTTTACATTGTATTGAGTTTTTTTGCAGCGTTTTTAACTGTATATTTGATTTTTTCACGGAACATTTGAAGCGGCTTTACGGAGCATCAGTGTTCTGCGGATCATGGATCTATGTAACTCCATTCAGGGGAAAAGTTTTGAATTGAAATCACGCAACTTCCAATCTTGACTGGATGTTCTTGTATAGTTAATCGGGACCGCCTCCCTTAAGCTTTTCATATCTGATCGTGACTTTCATCTACCTAATACCGTTCTCGAGATTAAGGAAGGACAGACTGACAAATAACAACGGTCATACTAGGTGTTTAGCGGGAGAAAGAAGGGGGAAGAAGGAAAGGAAAGAAGGACGAGAAGACAGAAGAAAAAGGAAGGGTCCTCTGAGCGGTGTACGTAGGGTTACTACTTCCTCTACGTTTAATATTGGCGTTCAGCTTTTTGTCCTTTTCGTTTTTTGTCCTGATTACGCCTAATGTGAATCAATCCCATATAAATAGTTAATGTTTCTCTCTGAGCAATTGAACAATGTGGACTTAATTTCAAGCACGCTTGTGTAAGCTCTTGGCCTAAGTCAGAGTAAACAACGAATGCGGCACATATCTCTTCACCCATTTTGGAGCCATCAGTGTAAAGCATGGGGGTGATCCTTTGAATCATCAAAGTAAACGTCTGGGGCAAGCTGATTCCAGGAGTGGAAGTCGTAATTAGGGAAAATTTATTTTATTTACTTTTCAGCACTAAATTGGCTTTTTTTTATTGCTAGACTTATTAATTACACCACCACAGGACATCAAATTAAGCCTTAGAAAATAACTTTATTAAGAATGCATTTCGGACCTTAAGTTCCTTATCAGCTTGTTGTACAATAACTTTCGTTTTGTAGGGTTTCCTCTCTTGATGCGTTGAATTTTCTATTATCTTGGCTGTCCAACGCATTATTTCCAATGCATCAAGAGAGGAAACCCCCACAAAACGAAAGTTATTGTACAACAAGCTGATGAGGGACTTAAGATCCGAAATGCATTCTTAATAAAGTGATTTTCTAAAGTTAATCTGATGTCCTGTGGTGGTATAATATGTCTAGCAAGAAAGAAAGGCCAATTTAGTGCTTACAAGTAAATATGAACCTAGGCAAGAAGCGTATCATAGGATTATTTTATCTATGCCGAATTGTCTTATGTCAGCAACAGAGCTAGACTAGGGGGAATCTTGCCTTCCTTAATAATTTTGGCAACATCCAAGTCGCTATAATCTCGCCAGGGCAAGTTGGCAAGATTCTCCTTCCAAGTGATTTTCTTAATTTATAAATTTATTGGGGTCAAATCAGGTCTGGCTCAAGCACTTGTGCAATTTGTTCACTTCACAAAGGAGCCTATGAAAGAGGGCACCAAATCGATTTTATGTACTGGTAAAAAATTTTTAAATCATTATATTACTACAACATTTATATTTATTTTCATTTTC